CGCGGCGCATGCACGCCGCGGCCCAGCCTGGCGCCCGCCACCGGCACCTCTGGACACGCCCGGACTTCATCTCAGGTGCGCACGAGTGCGAAGTCCGTTCTGCTGATATTTCCATTTTGTAGATAAGGACTCATTTGGTTCGGAGGAATTAGCCCGCCCAGAGACCCACGATCTGGGGGCGGATCTGGGGGATCATCCCAGATCGATAGGCCCCCAGGCCCGTGGCGAAGTTGTCCACTCTGTGCATCCCACGGTCAGGAGAAGGGAACAAGAGACCTTTCTGGAGTTCAGAGCCTGAAACCACCTGTCATCTTGGGGTTGGGAATAGCTTGATCGGCCCTCCTTCCTCCCGAGCCGGCTGTCACTCAGTGCCGTAGGTTCTGGCTTCCAGCACCTCCACTGTCCCTCGTCTCCCCACTATTCTTCATTCTGCCCTGCCTCCCCCTACAATGCATTCCTCCTACAGCAGCCGGGGGACCTCGTTGGACCGTCAGACCAAGTTCATTCTCCACTTGGATCTTGCAAGGCTGAGGTGTGTGCAGAAAATAGACTTCAAGCTCCCGCACAGGCCTTTCGCTGGTAGTTACACATCACAAATCTGCAAATGAGTGTTTATCTGCCTCCCCAGTTAGGGTTAGTACTCTCCATCACCCCTCTGCCTGGGCCTTTCTTTCTTCCTTGAAACACGTCAAGATCATTCTCCACCCGCCCCGCCCCCCTCCACCGGGCTTTCGTTTCCTCTGCCAGGGACGCTCCTCCTGCAGGTGTTCCCAGGTCACTCTATCACTTCTTCAAGGCCTCAGCTCATGTCACTGCGTCGAAGAGGCCTTCCCCGGCCACCTTATCTAAAACAGCATACGCATCTGTTCCCATTCCCTTACTTCTATCCTCCCATCCTAGTGTAAGTGGCAAGAGCGTAGGCACCTTGTCGGTCTCGTTCACTGCTATGCACATAATGGAGCACATTATAGACACTTATTAAATGCTAAAGACTCTCACCATTTAAGTGCCCGAGGCGAAACTAAGAGATACGGAGTATTCTCGAGTTATAAAAAAAAAGTACTGTTGTCATTGTTTAAAAGGAATACTGCTGTATTAGGCTGCAATTTGCTTTTAAGTTGCAGAGATAAAAGAGGGAATTGTTTCAAAACTGCAGGAGAAATACCCACAGTACCTGCGGACTCCGCATTGCGAAGGATAACCCTGCGAAGGATAACCCAGATCAGGTGTGCAGGGGGCGCGGTGCCGCACGTACCCTCAGAGAGCAGGTTCCTTGGGAATTCCACATTTAGCCACTAGAGGGCGAAACACACAGAAAAAAAAAAAAAACCATCTGGAGCCCCAGTGCAATCTGGCCGTCCGTCATCAGACCTCACTCTGATGGGGAGTTGAGGAAGGTACCTTAGGAATCAATTTTTATAGATGCATTACTCTCCCAAGGGCAAAGCTGACCAATGTTATGGCCAGAGAGACTCCTGCCAGAACTAGTACCCGGCCAGCTGTCCCAAGCTAAGCACAAAGGGAGGGAAGGTAAAGGGGGGTCGCCATGGTGTAAGCACTTAATGTGCACCAAGCTGTTTCTTTCCCCCACATGCGCTGTTACTTCACGGGAATGCGGCAGCAGGAGTCTGTCGCGGCTCGCAACCGAGGGGAACGAAGCTCATGCTAAACCCAGGGTCCCAGAGCTGGAGTGTGTGAGGAGCCAAGACTTACTCAGGTTCCCACAAATCACTTTCTATTGAATGGAAATCACTGCTCAACCTTTCCAGAAAGTCGGTCAATCTGGTGGCATCTTTGGAAAGGCTGGGCTGTTTCCTCCCAAGGCCTTAAACCTGCAACTTCCTTTTGCCACCTATTTCTCGATCTTCTCTCTTGACCAGACCATAAAGCAGCAGGAAGTGTTAGTAACACTGCGATTGAACAGGACGGGGAATGGACTGCTGGTGTCTGTAAGCAGCTAACGGCCAGCAGCTTTTCAGTTATCACTTAGTGGGCAAATTTATGCTTTATTTCTCTTCATGCTTACATTAAAAAAAAATTCACACAAATAAAACAGCTCAATAAAAATATTAATTACCTGATAACCTTTATTCAGGAAGTGAGAGTAACTGAAACAGTGCTTCCTAAGGCGTGTCACACGAGGCCTTTGTTGTTTCCGTCCTGCGGGAGGACGCTGCCCCAACCCCACACTCCCACTCAGGCACCTTATTAAGATGTCATCCTGGTTGGGCACAAAACGGTGGTCACATCTTAGACAATTTTATTGTTACTTGGGCAGAATGACAAGAGAAGGCATTGTCACTTAAGTCAGCCGGCGTGCTGAGGTCCCAGATCCTCATCCTGTGCATCTGTGCTCTCCCCGCCAGTGACTAAGCCCTGCTTGAGTTGGACTTACATGCACAAAAACATGTGCGAGACCACCACCCCAGTTTGGGCAGCAAGCAGTCAGTCTGCTTCCTCCACGTTCTCAGAAACTTCCAAAGAGGATGAAAACAGAAACCAAACCAAGACTGAGATGCTGGAAAAGACAGACACCAATACACAGAAACAAAACCATGAGGCAAGGGAGGAAGCAAACAGAGAGGTAGACAGGAGGTTAAACTATGCAATCACACAGCCAATGGAGAGAGATGGTAAGAGACACACTAGATAAAAATAAAACCCGCCCAGCTCCCTCCTCAAGGTATTTTAATGCAGCAAGCAAAAATACTCCATCCTTCTTGTAGTAAGCACTGTTAGTATTCAACACTTTTAACACTTATGGTGCATCACATAAAAACAAAGTCATATGCTTTTGCATAACTAAAAAAAAAAAATGTAGCAAATCAACCTAATGGCAAAACCAGGAGGAAAAATTCCAAATTTTCCACAAAATATAGTTTTAGAATATTAAGTAGATAATGTTTGCAGCGCTATCTAGAGCTCTTGTTGCCAATTGAAAAACAGAAATCATCCTGACACAGGATATTCCAAAAGCCTAATTCATGAAAAAAAGACAATTTATTCTATGTTTAATAAAATGTTTATTAAGGTGGTAACACAAATCATGCAAGAGCTCAGTAAAAAAAAAAAAAAAAGGTAAGAGTATAAGGAATGGTGATTGGTGCTGCCAATTTAAAAAAATGCAAATCATTTTACTACCTGGAAGTGACATGGAAAATCATTTGATTCTGAGCATGGACATGATTGCGGCCATCTTTTGGAATTGTAAAGTGATAGGTAACTACTTGTGTTCTAGTCCCCTAGGGGTAGAGTCCGATACCCAAAATAATCACAAATGGCCCTCGCATCGCATGCGCAGATGGCAAGCAGCTAGGAACCCCTGCCCACCGACTTCTTCCACACCCATGGGGGGAGGAGGGCAAGTACCTTTGGTGACCTTCAAATGGGACTCCATCGACATTCAGAATCTTACAAAACCGTTAAGACTTGCACATCATCCTTACCAGCCTTAAATGTAGTGTTGTGACGTCCGAGGAAGGATTCCCACATCAGGTGGGAAGAAATTTGAACAGATTTACCAAATCGAACATAGTGTCTCAGATTTCGAACAAACATGACTCATCTTTTGGCAAAAAAATAAAAAATAAATATAGTGGAATGCAGGTTTGATAGATAGAAGAATATGTAATCTACCAACTGTCAAGGAGTACAATTTCATTGCAGACACAAAGAATCAACCATTTCGAAGAATTAAAAAAAAAAAAAAGGTTTGCACTATTTCTCACAAAATCTTCACTTTTGGAACTACTCCAATTGAGGCTACACACTGAATTTATTAATACAGCATTAAGTTTCTTTGTGTAAAAAAATCTTTGTACATAGTAATAAAAAAAGATAAGGCAAGACGCATTAAACAGAAACCTTCTGGTTCTTTCTCTCTGAGTTCTTCCAGAGCCACTGATGACTATCTGCAACAAAAGAGTTAAGTTTCTGATTTTCCGTATCAAGCATCTTGTGCCTTTGCTGTGGTAAGAATTCTGTCCGAGCACCCTGAAGGACAGATGCTGGTGATGGTCTTTGGCACTTACGCTGGCAGACTGAGCTTCTTTCCCTTGAGTACTAGAATTGGAAAGAGAGGAAGAGAAAACAGGTTACAGATATTGACAAGCGTACAGTTCCCTGCTTCTCATTCCCAGAGGTCTGTCACACTCAAGATACTACCTAGTAAGATGCAAGGAAATAAGCTTTGGGCAACCAACACTCATTTGATTTTGGTGTCAATAAACAAAGGCCTCTTAATGATGAAAATTTACACGTACACTAAAATTTTCTTCATGTACTAGATGCCAAAACAACTGTATTTAAGAAATGCAAATTTGATTAGTATTGTCGCTAAATTCATAGCAGCTTTTTGCCATCATGACTTTCTACCCCAATCAGCATATATGAAAAAATAACTGTTTCTATGTACGGAGATCTATCAAATTTAGAGATCTGTACCTAGCAATTCCGCCACCCAGAATTTTACTGTATAGCAGAGGTTCTTAGCCTGGGGTCTGTGTTTGGGTTTCAGGGGCTTATGAATGCCCTCAAACTAGATGCATAAATTTGTGTGCATATACAGAAATGTGCATTTTTTTTCCTCAGCAAGGACCATAGCTTTCACCAGATTTTTTGTGAAATTCACATGTCCTACATTCACATAAATGCAAAAATGTACATTACAAGGATGCTGATTTATGCACTGGATTTTAAAACATATTCAGCAAGAGAGCAGTGACAGCCAGACTACCCATGCATAGTGGGGCTGAGTAAACTCTGGTAAGACACATAATGATATACTACGCCTACTGAAAATTACATAGATTTCTATTTACTGACATGAAAAAATATGAGTGGGCAAAAGAGATTATGGCGCAGCAGGTGTAGTTTCAATCGCGTATCTGTGTGTGCATAGAGAACTATCTGGAATTAGATGTACAGAAACAGTAACGATGATGACCTGAGTGGCGGGATCTCAGGTGACTGCTTCCACAATGAAAACGCGCCATCGTGGAAACACAGTAACGCCACAGCGAGAGGAGACTGACGCCCCAGCCCAGAGTCTGACGGTCACTGAAACGCTCATCTGCAGCCGGTTCTGCTTCACAGAGCTGGTGCCAGGTCAGGAGTGCGCCGGGCTACGAAGCCCCCAAAACCACACCTGCTGTAGGGACAGAGCAGGCAGGATGTGGAGACGCACCTTTAGTAATGTATAAGTAGAAGAAGTCGCAGTAGAGGATGGTCTGGACAACACCGGCCACAACGGCGATGAGGTCGAAGAAGCCCTCGAAGTAGAAGCGCCAGATCCAGTTGACGAGATAGAGCGCGCGGTAGAGGCCCAGGAAGAACAGGTAGTGAGTGGTGATGGTCTCCGCCTCCCCGGTCTTGCTGATCATGAAGAGCTGCGGGAGGATGGCCACCGACTCAAGGTAGATGGAGAAGGTCCACAGAATCTGGAGGAGAAACACACGCTCCGTCAGCATCCAGTGCCCACCACGGGACCACCGGAGACACGCTTGTCCTCTGTGGGGCAGCGCAGAGAGCGGGAGTCGGCCCATCAGAGCCTGGAACAGTAGAGCTTGGAGTTTTCCTACATCACAGGAACCTAAAATGCATCTAAGAGGCACGGACACTCCCAGTGACAAGCCGGATCACCTGGTCTACCTCTTTGACTTTTCACTACCTCGTCTTTCCAACGTCAGGTCTTCCCTGTACGATTTGCCGTTAATCTACATACATGATGCTTCCCCTGGACCAGTTTGTCCCACTCCACATCTAGGATCCAGGGTCACCCAGCTCTCCGCCAGAGTGGACCCCACACTGATAACCAGGTCCCGCTCCCCGCTCACTGCTATTTCTCCTCACCCGTTGGTCTCTTTTCCTGACTATCCAAATATCGTCACCGATTTTCTTATTCCTTAGGCTTTGAGGGAGTGGTTAAATCAACGATGAGTGAAAGCGGAGTGGTCATAATGCAAACTCCGCCCAACATGGTGCCTCATTCACACGGACAACGGGAGGACTCACCAGGAGGACTCGCGAGCGGTCCCCTGGAGTACACTAAGCCCAGGCATTCCCAGCACCCATCAGACGGCCACCAGAAGCGTGGTAACTGAGTCGCCCCTGGATGCTAAGGGAAGGACGAGTCACTCAGGAGCAGCCACGGCCCCGCAGACCGCTTTTCCTAAGGTCGAGGGGTGCAGCCGCGCCGCTCAGGGGACCCGCAGACAAGGCGCCGATGTGCGACAGCAGGGTTAGAGCGGGGAGATGATGATGTTCACCAAAACCACGGACAGGCAGGGCACCGTGTCTGGTTCCACAGAGGCCAAGTTTATATTCTAGAGGAGTCAGTAATAAGCCGTCAGCAGATGCCCTGCCACCTGGGGGCTTCGTTCTTGCCCACGATTCATTTACACCAAATTCATTGACACAGTATATGTTGCACCAGAAGCTTGCCAAACCGAAAAAAAAAACAAACAGAACCCACATTATCCACAAACAGGACTATTTCCCTAGGGAACCAGACATGAGCCCTGAAGAAACTCTAACTAACCTCAAGAGGAGAGAACTCATGATTGACAAGAAACGAGAGGCCTCCCACAGGGACCACCAGGAACTCCACGCGGAACGTATCATGATTCCCATCGTACGTTGCCTTGAATTTCATGTAGATCAGGTACACCGTGGCGTAGGAGCAGGCGATGTAGATGAGCTTCAAACGAAAGAAAAAACACCAAGTCATCAGGACCTATCGTTGTTCTAATTCCCTTGGCTTTCTACATCACCTCTGTTTTTGTTTAAAATTTAAATATACTAAAATTCACTTTTTTTGGGGGATACAGTCTATGAGTCATATAACCACCACCACAATCAAGACAGAGATCAGCGCTATCACCTGCAAAAAATTCTCTGTTGCTGCCCCTCTGTGGTGAAGCCTTCTGCTGAGGCTTAACCCCTGACAGTCACTGATCTGCCCTTGGTCCCTGCAGTTCTGCCTTTTCTGGAATGTTACATAAATGGAATCGTACAGTATGCCACCTTTAAGACCAGCTTCTTTCAACTGGCATAACGCCTGTGAGACCCGACCATGCTGCTGCGTGTACTGGCACACAGCAGGCTCCTTCTCACTGCAGAGCAGCAGTCCACTGCCTGCTGTGGCACAGTTTGCAGCCACCGGAGGGCTGTTTCCAGCTTGGGGGATGGTGGATACAACTGCTAAGAATTTGCGTACAGGCTTTTGTGTGAACGTAATTTTTCATTTCTCTCAGGGAAGTACCTAGGAGTGGGACTGCTGGATCACATGTTACGTTGAAGTTTAACTTTGTAAGAAACTGCCGAAGAATGTATTTTTAATCCCACTTTAAACTATCAGAATGTAGCTGAAGAAAAAAATGAATGAAAAGTTCAATGCAGTCAAAAACCAATGAACTTCCTTCCTTCCAACATCGTATTTCTAAGCTAGTGCTTCTCTAAAGGTAAACAATGTAACTCCTGTTAAACTTCACAAGGATGGTTTTTACTTAAACTGTTACTTTAACACTCACTGAACAGGCAGATTGTTACTATGAAATTTTGTCTGGGAACATAACAAAAACCAAAAGTAAGTGATGATTTGTAAATTGTAAAATGTTGCTGCCGGACAATGGAACAATTTCAGCTGCGTAGCAGCAGAGCTGTTCGAGGGCTTACAATTACATTTTATGTTCCTGCACATCTAAAAGTCAAATACCATATATTCATCTGACCCACAAGCCTGACATTCTGAAATTACACTCACTTTCGGACTGGCAAATTTTAGGCCCAAAAAAACCTCAGAGCAGGTTCAGCCCATGACCAGACACAGGTGGGATGTGGGCCACACTGCCTGGTACTATTTCTTAGGAAAATGACCCTGCGAAACTTAATCGGGGCATCGGGGCAGCGTGTGAGCAAACTCCTGAATAGGAAAATGAAAGCGATCATTGGGCTGTCACATGCTTCAAAGCAAAACAAAATGAAGACACTAAACTGTCCCTGGCACCTCACTGTGACGTTATATTGGCAAATAAATGCTCAACACGTATTCGAATTGTTGGTCATGCCCATATGGCGAAGAAGTACCAAAAAACCACAAAAACAATCGAGGAAGCTGAGCCTCTTACACTGTCAGAGTTCTCACACCCAAATGTGTGTATACGCGCATATGGATAAAACAATGGATAATCTACATGTATAAACAAAATCTGTGTACAGAGTCCCCACCCAGCAGAGGCACACGGTGGCAGGTTCCCTCCCCAGCGGCCAGCCTAGAGCCTGCCCAGATCAAGTCACCCGCAGGGGTCGCGGCCACTGGGGAAAGCAGCTGCTCTCCTCTCGTCAGAGTTTGGCATTGAAAGCAAAAAGCTAGGCACGCACAAATCTCAGCTCTCATTCCTGATTTTTAGGACACCCTTGGAAACTAGACTGAAGCGAGGAGGATTCCTCTGGAAGCTAGGTATCTTGAGGGGCTTCTGACACCTGCAGTTTTAACCGGCCTGGACAAGCAGGGACCTGGGCATTTTTAAGTAAGCCAATTTCCTGATTACTAGGCTCCCATCACTTAGTAATGAAGAAAGGAATGATCAAAGGTAGCTCACATTTGCGTTTTAGTAAAGGCCGCAGACTCAAATATTGTGTTGTCTACTTTGACCTGTGCTGATGAAAATGCTTTTGGACACAAGTGTTGGGGAGTTGTTTTAAATGCCCCACCAAGGGGCTTCAGCTGAAACATTACCTCCTTGGGGGTGCCAACGACCAGGTACCTACGGCAGTGCCCGGCACACAGGTGCTCACTCAGCGCATGAGGGAGGGGGTTAGAAGTCGGGTTCCTGTCACATACTCTGAGAGCCCCCCACTTCCCTGCAGAGCACCTATCACAAACTATAGCCGCTCGTTCAGTGCTGAGATGACTGGCCTACTCTCCCCAGCGACCACAACTCCTGCTTGTCTTCTGCCCTGCCCTCGATGCTGGGGAAGTGCCCGGTCCTGTGTATGTTCACAAGCATGAATTCAAGAGTGTGCAAAAGAACCGAGGCCTCTCCAAGCGTGGAGTGCGTACCGCCAGTGCTACGCAGATGTCAGGGGTGTGCAAACACTCTGAATTCTCACGGGTGTATGTGTTTTAATGCAGACCAGGAAAAATATAAGAATACCGAACAACCATGGACACTAATGTTTAGGACAAATTAAAAGGTTTAAAAAACATCTTTAGTAACTTATGGTGCAGGTGTTATTTAGGCATGGCAAAATAAAGATGGCACGCATGGCAGAAGTTTAAGAAAGAGGAGCCTGGTGGGAAAAGAAGAAAAGCAGATGCCTCTGCACAGGCCTTCACAGCGGCGACACGAGATGCCACAGCGCCTTGGCGCATTCCTCGCTCGGAACTGACCTGCTGGGTTCCCTGGGGAGTCTGTAACTTCCCGCTGCTTGAAAATGTAACAGTTCTCCTCTGTCTTATAGGGTTATCAAGAGCTTTAGAAGTTTACCGTACTCAAAGAGCTTAAGATTAAAAAATTTCCAAGTGCAAAGCACTAATTAAACAGATACTGCTTTGAAACCAAAAAAATCCGCTTAATGATAACAGTTTCCACGGGCCTGTGAATTATGGATGAAATACGTTCCACTGGATGCCATACGATACCTTCATAGATGTGTTATATAATGAAATAAACGACGTAAAAAGATCCAGGTAACGAGTTGTGAAGACCAGTGCAAAGAGAAGCTGGCTTTTTCCAGAAATACCTAAAGAGACAAAAGGGAAATGTTAGGAAAGGCTGGGCCAGCTTTGCGATGCCCGCAGACACTGCCCGCAGACACTACCCGCAGGAAGCGCAGATCTGGAGAGTGGGCGACCGGGCGCCAGAGGCTGATGTCCGGGCT